TATATATATATATATATATATATATATATATATATATATATATATATTCTAACATGTACATTTTTAAAAGCAGCTTTGAAATGCTTCACTAACGACACTTGTAGAGTTTCTAATAGAATTTCATAGTATTCTAAAATTAGTTTAGGGGACAGTCATTAACATCTTTAATATTGCCTTCATATCCATAAAGTAATATATAACTATCTACTTAATTGGGTTTAAATTTTTATTCTTTAAGAATGTTATACATTTATATAAGCAACATGATCCTATTCACTCATTTCCCTCTGCCAACTCCCCTCAAAAATTATCCCTGTCCAACATTAATGCCTTCTTTTTGTTTTGCTTTTTAATGCCCCGCTAGGTAGCTTGGTGCTGTTTGAATGTGCTTGAATGTGGGGCCATTCACTGTTGCATAAGAACCCACCAGTGACCATCCCTCCAAAGAAGGAGGTTCTTCTCCTAGAAGCTACTAACTGCTAATGGCTCTTCAATTAGGGGTTGGGCCTTAAGAGCTCCTCCGTGCCAGTGCTGGAATTTGGGCTACCTTGATCTCATGCAGGTATTATGAGGATAACCAAAGATGCTGTGACTTCATAGATGCCTTGGCCCTGTCGGGACCAGGAGGCAGCATTTCATAGCTCTTTATCATTTGGGTGTTGCATAATTTTTGCTTTCTCTTTTGCCAAAGGTCATTTTTTTATATCCTTCAATGAAGTTTTTTTTTTTTTTTTCCAAAGCGTTACATGATTCTTACTAGTTTTATACTTGGACATATTTGTATGAAATCTTCCTCTTTACCCATTGAATGAAGTTTCTGATGAGCTATCATTGATATATGATCTTTGCACATCCATTTTTTTTGCACAATGTAATGTGTGTGGCTTAATTATCCCAAGCTGAACATAGTTGCTTACCTACTCCCCAGGAGAAAAGGCACCATTGGGGATCTCAGAAAACTCCTCTTCATTCTTCCTGTGTCTCATGAATGACCTCTATACAGACCTTAAGTGAACAGATCAATAAAAATGCCATTTTTGACAAACGAAATGATGTACTGATACATTCTTTGTGTTGACTTCTTTTTTAACCCAGGAAACATGATGCTACATCATAGTTTTACTCTTTGAATATCACAACAGTCACCGTAGGGGTGGCTTCTAGGCCAGGGCTGTTGTAAATAGCATAGCTATTTCCATTTCCTGAGAATACGTTTTATTGCACATAATTATTTGATTATTGTTTGGTATCCCTCTAGGAGCAGATTTGCTTGACTGTCCTATGTCTACAGCCTTAGTGGGTTCTGCTACACAGTTCTGTTCTCAGGATTCATTAGCAGTTTCATAGTAGGGATTTCAGTTAACCTTTAAAACCGTATGACAGATAACCTCTACAAATCAGTCATTGTACTGTGGTTTCCAAATATAGACAAACAAATTAGTATCTCAAATAAAGCAATCATTTTGGGCTAGTTAATGCAGTTATTTGGCTAAAACTTTTCAATTGTTTTTAGATTTATGTGTGTGGTTGTTTTGCCTGTATGTATGTGTGCTATGTGCCTGCTCAGTGGCCCTAGAGGCCAGAAGAGGGCTTTGGGTCTCCTGGAACAAGGGTTAAACATCATTGTGAGCCAACATGAGGGCGCTGGGGCTGGAACCCGGGTCTTTAACCACTGAGCAACTTCTCCAGTCCCCGTGTTAGAATTCTTAATGTTAGTGTGTTTGGATGCATGGTAGTGAAGGACTAAAAGAAAAGTAAATATAGCAAGTCTATAAATACAAATATAAAGCAAAGTGGAAAAATGTACTGGTTAAAGTGATGAAACACATGTCCCCATCACTTTTTTCCCTTCTACTTTTAACTTTCAGCTCTCAGTTTTTCCAGAAAGAAAATTTTATATTCCAGTAGGATTCGCCCATGTGACAGCAAAAAATGTCCAGCTCCTAGAAACCATGGGCCAGTGTGATCCTTAGTGGTAGAGAGAAATACTCTTCCTACTACCGATATCAGTTCCTCCAACAACTGATTGGCTGTATCCAGAGATTTTAGGGCTTGGATGTATGGCTTACTTGTAGAGTAAATGCTTAAGATACACAATGCTTTAGTTTCAACCCCAATATATATATATATATATATATATGAATGTAGAGTAAGTAGTTTCTAAAGGGATGCTAAGCAGGTAGAAGCTAAGCAAACACATTATAACATTTAAAATGTTTGATTTGTTTTTGTTTTCCAGATTATTGCAAGCCATCAAATGCAATCAATTTCATTTGCCTCTGGAGGGGACCCTGTAAGTATAGATTCATAACAGTTCTTTTGTAAGTCCTAAGCACTTTCATATGCAGATAATATATTAACTACCTCATGTCTTTTCTAGTTATTGCAATTTGTTAAATGCTTCATGTATTAGGTAGATAACAAAACAAGAAAAGCCAATGGTTTGGCCAAATGTTTCCTGTGTTTGGGTTTTAAAAGGTTGGGCTTAGTAGGACTGCTAGCTGTCTGTGGGGTTAGATGCCATTGAGTATCATCTGGTAAGCTTTTAATTAACTCCAAAGCAGCGAGGAGTCCTATATGAAGAGCTATTCCCCTTCCAGAATGACCCCAACAGCATTCTAAGCAGACTGTCAGTTGGATTTAATATGTGATGGGAATCTCCTGCACCATCATGATATTAACCAAGGCCACCACGGCCAGTCTATAATGACCATCCAGATTTGCATAAACTTTTGGAGACACTGCTCAGCCATGGAGGGAGAATTTGCAGTTCCTCTCTGTCAAGAGGCTGTGCAGTGCTCAGTTCCCACAAATTGTTCAGGGTTTCTCCCAGAGAGTACTTTTCAGAGTGTTAATTCCTTGATTCCTCACTGCTTCACTTCTGGACCAGAGTCTTTAGGGAGGGACCGCATACATGCTTAATCAACTGTCGATCCATTAGCAAATGGGGTAAGTAAAATTGTTTGCGTTTCACAATGTGAGCCTAGGAGTGAGTGTATATATATATGTACACACACTCATATATATTACTATATATAGCCAAGATATACTATATCTATCCAACTTCATAATTGGCCTCAACTGTGAAACTAAAAGTTGGATACCAGAGAGAGAAACAGACAGAGACAGAGAGACAGAGGGACAAAGAGACACAGAGCAGTGAATCTAGATAGGAGAAAGGTGGTGCTTTCTCTTCTCCTAGCCTGTTAGATTTCATATGAAGGGACTCAGGCACATTTTCAAAAGATTTACTACTGTATGATGTACTTAAAAATTATGATTGGTGCTTCGCCCCGAAATTATGCTGCTTAGGTTTCCAGGGTTGTTGCCATGTTAGGGCTGGTGCACAGACGCTCATTTGCTCTGCATCCAACATGATTTTTTGTTGTTGTTGTTGTTGTTCTTCAGAATCATAAGGTTTCCACCTGGTCCTCAAAAGCTTCACAGCTTTAAATTAATTGAAGTGCAGTCCTTGCCAGAATCAACTGTCTGCAGCCATTGTGGGAAAATGTGTACGGCAGCACCCTCAGTGGAAGCCCTGGGCTCCACAGTTGGAAAATCCACTGGCTTGGGTTTTAAGTGATGTCTGGCTTGGTTTTGGTGCCCGACCACCAAGTGAAGTTTTACTCTCCTGTCAGGAAGGCAGCGTAGGCTCGTGTTAGGCATTAGAGCCAATCGGATCTGAAGTACTGACCTTTCTAAGGTTTGGGGTCTTCCCTTGCATGACCTCTGTGACAGAACCGAGTGCAGTGAAGCACGCTAGGACTGAGCACAGCGTGACGGGGCGCAGGGCACGTGGTTACAAAGAGACGTTAATATATCTGCATTTGCGTTGGGCTGCCCACTGAGCTACGTCAGTTACGTAGTAGCTGGCTATAGGGTAAGTGGAGCCGAGTTCAAAGCCCTGCATGATCGACGTCGTCACTGAAAATATGGATTATTCTTCCTAACCTGTGATGTCTGCTCCCTTCACTTTTATTCTTTCTCAGAAGGGTTTTGTCTTCCTAGTAACTGTAAAGCAGCTCTTGTAAATGCTTCCATAGCAACCCAGGCTTCCTCTATTCTGAAACATGCTTCAGATTTGTGAAAAATTAAAGATATTTCAAATATTTTCTCTGGGTATTTGTTCTTTCCTTCAGAGTATTCTGCAGTTTCTACCAGATCTTTACAGTGATAGAATTTTGAAACCCATTAGGAAGTTGGAGATCGTTTGGGAGAAGACGAACTAGGCTAGGAGGGTCCTCACACTTCTTCCTCAGCACCTGTTCCAGGCTGACACTGTGTCGCCTGTTCAGCTTAACCAGAGTGGTCTGGTCTGCAGGGTCCGTGACTCCTCAGTCCGTGACTCCTCAGATAACAGAACGCAATGCTCGTAGATTGGACCCTACTTATTTAGAAGCTGTTCCAACCCGTCTTTCTACTTGCCTGAGACATTTACTTAGGTGTGTGCTATTTTTAAAAATGACTGAAGACAAGTTCTGCTGACCCTGAGATGTTCTTCCTGCATGATTCATTGTGGTTGTTAAGTGGCTGTCCTGGAGGGCCTTACCAACATGGCTTTTACTTCCTGCCAGAAGATTGCATCGTCCCTCTATAGGCCATTCTTATACTCGGAAATGGCATTGTAGGTATATTTCCTCTGAGAATTAAGATAACAGAACATCCTTAATCATTAAAATCGTACTGTTTGTCAGCTCACTGTTTTCCATATAAGCTGGAATATCCAAACACCTTTTTGCTTGTTTTCACAAATTCAGCAGCATATCTCTTTTTGAACTTAAGTTATTCCTAGGTTCTCTGTTTTGAGACAATTTGCCTTTGCCTGTGGATGAAATAACTTATTTATTTATTTATTTATTTTGCAAGCTAGCTTGCATCACACACACACACGCAGCTAAAGAAACCAACAGGTCTCTGATCAGCTCACTTTCTGATGCTCATGAGTCTGTTTGGACACAGGCCAATGGCCACATCCCAGTTCCCGATAACTTTATGACAGCACGGTTCCACACGCATTTCAACCCAGCCCAGGGACAGTTGGTTCCTAGACAGTTTTACAGAATTCCTTAGCTGTGTTCTCTTTTATTCCCGTTGACACAGTCAGACTCTGAATTTTCATTCTTCATACTCTTCCTATGAGGATCAGAGAATGAAGATTTAATTGTTAAGTTCCATAGGGTACGCCATAGAGGAATGGTTCTCAACCTGTGGGTCATGAACCCTTTGGGAGGGTCACATATCAGATATTCTGCATATCAGTTGTTTACATTCTGATTTGAGACAGCAGCAAAATTACAGTTGTGAAGTAGCAACAAAATAAATTTATGGTGGTGGGGGGAGGTTCACCACACCATGAGGAGCTGTTTTAAAGGGCGGCAGCATTAGGAACGTTGGGAACCATTGCCACAGAGACAGTTAGTTTCCAAGTCTTTGCCTCAGTGCTGGATCCTAAGGAAGTCTTATCTTACAGCGGTTACGAGTCATTCATTTTAAATGCAATTGTTTCTCTTTTTTACAGGATACCACAGACTATGTTGCCTACGTAGCTAAAGATCCCGTCAACCAACGAGGTACGGAAAAATAACTTCTGGGTTTTCGTAAGAACTGTTAGGTACCAACAGTAAAAATCGGTGGTTATTCCTAATGTACACAGTAATGAGTGTCACACAGAGCAGTAGTGAGCCCGTTGGTCTGGGGCATCACACAGATAATAAGGACAGGACCCCCCAACCAAAGTCAGAGTAAACCAGGTAGTGACTTTTTATTCACCTCCGGGAAGCACTTCCAGCGGCCCAGGGATGCAGTCAGACTCTGCAACCCGGGTGGGAGGGAGCTGGCTCCTTTTAAAGCAAAAATCCAGGAACAGGTGTTAGGAGATGATTAGGAAAGAATTTAGTTATCCTTTAAATTGATGGGTCTGTCCTTGAGTAACATGTGGCCGCAAGGAGAGAGCGCAAGGAGAGAGCGCAAGGAGGAGGAAGTGCACAAGCTCATGGCTGTTTCAACAATGCAGCAGTTTCTTCTTAACTTTATGGGCTGATGGAGGTTGGGCGGGTTTTCCTGTAACTAGGGAAAATCGAGGGTAGAGGGCACCCTCAGAGTAGGGGTGGTACGGAGATGCTTCAGGTACTTCATTGCCATCACTGTAATATGATGTTGAAGGACTCTAGTAAAAGTATGTAAATTTGAATTGGAAATAAGTACTCCTACCAGCAGAGAAACCTGGAGAAATCCACACACCGTATTTAAATCTCAGTCACCTGAAAGATTCACACACTGTGAAAGAGTCACAGAGCTTATGTATTTACATATGCACAAAAAGAGCTGTTTTGGTAATGGTAGAGGAACTCCCGTATCCCTGGATGATAAAGAAATTGCACATAAAACTCAATGAGATATTGTGTTGGCATGTGCGTGAGTGCGTGCATTTGTGTGTGTGTCTATGTACCTTCTGCTGAAGAACCTGGAATGTTACTTTGAGTTAAAGTATGTGATTTTTTTCCCTCCCTCCTTCCTTCCTTCCTTCCTTCCTTCCTTCCTTCCTTCCTTCCTTCCTTCCTTCCTTCCTTCCTTCCTTCCTTCCTTCCTTCCTTCCTTCCTTCCTTTTGAGAAAAGGCTGGTCTTAAACTCACTATGTAGCTGAGGATAACTTTGAACTTCTGATCCTCCTGCCTTCGCCTCTTGAGTGGGATACCATGCCCAGCATTATGCAGTGCTGCGGCTAGAACTCAGTGGGTTGTGGGTGCTAGGCAAGGCTTGTCCACCTTTAGGCCTCACTCCAATGGCTCTTCTTTTGGGAGGCCTTCTATTGACAGCAGTTTTTTCTAGTCACATGCTCCCCACACCCACTCTGACACTGTGTTTCTCTTCTTATAAACAAGCCACACTTGGTTGCTTGTTTTTTCTCAGACTTGTTTGAACATTTAGTGTGTTCTTTCTACTAGGCTGAGATTTGTCCCCCCTCTCTCTCTCTCTCCTAATATGTATTCTGCCTGCATGTACACCTTCACACCAGAAGAGGGCACCAGATCTCACTATAGATGGTTGTGAGTCACCATGTAGTTGCTGGGAATTGAACTCAGGACCTTTGGAAGAACAGCCAGTGCTCTTAACCTCTGAGCCATCTCTTTTACTATTGTTTCTCAGACACTCTTTACAATGGCTCAGGCATAGGCGATGCACAGAAACTGTGTTTTGAAGGACTGAGTGGAAGAGTTGAGTGAATGTCTCATCCTAGGGTATCACAGGGTTGCCTAAGAAAGGCATCTGCTGGCCATGCTTTGAGTCAAAGGTCCAGCCTCTCTGGACAGATGTGGTTAGTACTGTTTCTCATCTGTAACCCCAAGGCATTCAGATTCCTCTGAGAGACAGGCTTAGCCAGTTCCCCTTATACAGAACCTGGTACGTGGGGAACGTTCTCCATCCTAGCGATGGAGTTTGCCCCCCAAATAATTGGTCACATTAACATGGCGTGGTATTTGTCAGTTGAAACAACAGTAGCCCACAGAGGTGGAAATGTGCATGGCATGCTGGGAAGCACAGTTGCAGACTGCAGACGGGGGAAGGAAAGCACTACCAGGGCAGCTAAGAGCTAATAAGCCGAGTCTTGACCCCGTGGGTAGATGGGTAGAGGTGCTGTTTGCAAAGCAGAGCTCCAGCGAGACTGATCTGGCAGGCCGTAGTAGGCCTCCAAGTATCAGAGTGAAATTATGAGAAAAGCATCCATTGGTACAGGGCTTGGCACATGGTAGGTGCTTGGCAATTGCTTGCTGAGAAGGACAGAGTTCTGCACATGTGGAAAGAGCAGGTGACAGACACTTTAAAGGAGTCCATTGAGACAGAGTCACTCTGAGCTGCATAATGTTGAATGGAAAATGGTGGGCAAATGGCTAGGAGATGAAGGAGTCAAGCACAGGGAAAGCTACCAGCAAGGAGCCGCCTGATTAACTCCTGGCTGTATTTTGGAAGACCTCCAAATATTATTTGTTTTCCTTGCCATAAGACACACAAATATAGCTGGGCATGGTGGTGCACACCTGTAATCCCAGCACTCTGGGACTCAGAGTTAGGCAGATCTTTATGAGTTCAAGGCCAGTCTGATCTATAAAAGTGAGCCCAAAACAGCCAGGACTACACAAAGAAACCCTGTCTCGAAAAACCAAAGTGTGTGTGTGTTTGTGTGTCTGTGAGAGAGAGAGAGAGAGAGAGAGAGAGAGAGAGAGAGAGAGACTGAGGGACAGAGGGAGAGAGAGAGATAGAGGGAAAGAGAAAGGTACAGATATGGAAAGAGGATCACTGCAAATATGAGGACAGTTTTAGCTCGGCGCTGTGCTCGTGGACAATCTGGGTTATAGACTGGGGACCTGCTACCCTGTTAAAAAGAGGATAAAGGGGGCTGGAGAGATGGCTCAGAGGTTCAGAGCACTGTCCTCTTTTCCAGAGGTCCTGAGTTCAATTCCCATAAACTACATGGTGACTCACAACCATCTATAATGAGATCTGGTGCCCTCTTCTAGCATGCAGGTGTACGTGCAGGCAGAACACTGTATAATAAATACATAAGTAATAAAATAAAGATGATAAAGAAAAGCACCTGGAATCCAGGTGTGAATTTGCTTTGGTGTCTGTCACTGTCTTAGTTTGTTTCCCTGATCAAATACTTAGCAGAGAAACAACTTAGCAGAGAAAGGATTCATCCTAGCTCACTGTTTAAGGCTGGCTGTCATGGCAGGGAAGCCAAAGGAAAAGGCAGTTGAAACAGCAAGTCCTATCACATCCATCCTCAAGGAGGCAGAGAAAGGTGAATGCATGCTTGCTGCTTCCTTCCCTTTCTTTCCACAGAGAGTCCAGAATCCCAGCCAGGGAAGGGCGCCATCCATAGTGGCTGGGGCTTCCCACCCCAGTTCATATAATCAAGGTAATTCCTTACAGGCATGCCCAGAAAAGCCACCCTTCAGATGATTCTAATTCTACCTTGTCAAGTAAATAGATGATACAATTCCAGAGGCACTGGGTATCTGTAGACATGTTATTTTTGCTCTTGAGTCAACTCTAGTGAGGGGTTCAAAGATAAGAGTTAGGCACTGAGAGAAAGGGCCTTGTAATCACAAATCTTTCTTCTTGATTAGTTATGCAAAACAGGCAGAAAACATTAGAATACAGCATGTAGCATGTTCGTTCAGAATGTTCCTTCTGGGCTGAGTGGCTCCATGGAGCTGGGCCATGTGGGTTTTGAGAAGGTATTCTTGAGCACAGTTGACCAAGGTCATGGCTGGGTTTTTCAGAACATGAACAGACCAGAGGGTTCAGTTTTTTCTTTATGTATCAGCTTGTCATACAGGTAAAGAGTAAGGCCCGAGACGGAAAGACTAGGTGAAAAAAATGATGTTTCCCCATTTCAGTGTATGGGATGGTACATTGATTCATATTCTCCATCTCAGTGTATTGGCCTGCACTTGTTTGTTTTTGTATGGGCACATGCACATGCCATGCTGGGCATGCAGAGGTCAGAGGACAATCAGTGGGAGTCATTCTATCCTTTCACCATATGGTGCTCAGGAATCGAACTCTGGTCACCAGGCTTGGCAGCAGGCACCTTTGCTTGCTGAGCTGTCTTGCCAGATCACAGTTGACTTTTAAATTTAGCTTTCAGTGTTTGGGGATAAATGAAAGAAAAGACCTGGAAAGCCTAAGTTTTATTTTTCTTTCATCTTTCTTTCCTGGGGAAAACAGGTCTATCAGGACAGATAACTTAGAATCATAAGGTGATTTCCCTGGGTTTAAAAATTAGTTATTTCCACATCATCTGTCACTTCCCTTCCTGTCCTGAGTATCTGCAGTGAAGAAGCACCACAGCTTCATCACACACACACACACACACACACACCAAGATTAATTGCGTCCTAATGTGCAAAGGGTGAGCTAGCTGGTATGAGAGAATAGTATGGCTGCCAGAGACTCCTTGTTCATTCAGATGGACAAGCATGACCTGTAGGAGGTGCCTGGGAGAGGGGAGGCACCCAGGGAATTGAAGCTTTCACAGTTAGGGTTTGTGCAGGTGAGAGCACAGTGCGAGGAGATGACTGTGTTCATGGCTGGTGAGGGCACCCGTAAAGATAGGGCTTCAGAGAAGGAAAAAGAACAGAAGCCAAGGAGCCTCGGGGAAAAAGATAGGCCAGAAAAGGACTGCAGCGAATGGAGAACGCCAGTAGGTCACTAGGTCCCGGCGAAGATTCTGAGCTTTATAGAAGGAGTTATGATTTCCGCCATTGCACTGCAATTATAGTATGATGCTTCTTGCAGCTTTTTCTGTACAGTGATATCAGAGAGCAGAAAAGCAGTGTGAGAGTATGGATTACAATTCAGTTAAGGTCTCATCAGTTCTAAATAAAGGTTGTTGCTGGTCTAAATTGCCTGGAGGATGAAGGGACAGCTTGGACCAAGCATGGACTAATAGGATCTGATGAGCCACATAAGGGTTGATGGAGGAATAGGAATAGGCATGTTTCCTGGGAGCTTGGTGAGGCATTGTTCGCAGTCCAACATCTCAGTGACTGGATTCCGCTTCCTA